TACTACTTATTGGATACACATGTTTCAAGGGCTATATCAAAGTAATATTGGTACTACCAAATCCATGTCACAGTAACCAAAGAAAGCCTTAGAAGAACACCAGCAAATAAAAACTCTCTACAATACTCCCTTTGATCCTTTTGCGTTGTGGCATAACATAATCAAAACTAAGATCCATTTCTTTCGGAGACAAACAATCAAGACCCACTATGAATTGAAAGTTTTCTCTGTAGCAGTTACTAGTTACTGTGATTGGAACTCGTGATAAATGAACAATACAAAATGATATTTGGGTTCAAGAGAATTTGTGGTGATGATATCTTGAGAAGAAGAGAGTAGATTAACTATTGTTGAAATGTAATTGTAAGGTGAAATTCTTGAATCAGAAGGAGGAGATATAATTAAGTGATAAACATGGGAGGGGAGAATTAAGAGATAGTGGTTGATTTTGGAGTGAAAGAGTTATTTAACCAGATAATTAATCAATAATAGTTTTAAGGGATGTGGATATCTAATAGTATTTTCAAATAATATATTAATATATGGTATAAAAATACTAAAAGTGGTAATATATGTAATTGTTTAAAAGTAAAGATAATATTAGTATATATAGTAGTGATGTATGTCTAATAAGGTAGTTTATCCTATTTAATATTCAAACGTTTTAATGGAAATGAAAACAAATGAGCCTATGCAACCCAGACCAAAAAATCCCTAAAATCTAGGGTTTCACCATGGCATTTCCTCGCTCTCAATTGCTTGGCAGTAATGTTTCTTTGCCGGGCATTTCACTTTTTCTTAATACGGCGTTGCCACCTCTGTGCATTTTGTTACTATTTTTGAATCAGCCAGCATGACTCAACAAGGTATAAAATTCTCTCTTTCCCTCTTTCTAGTATTTTTTGGATTATAAATTTTAAGAGATTATTTTTAGTATTTTTAGCACCTAGTAAAAGAGTTGTTGTTGAAGGGGAAAAAGAAGATATAATCATTGCTCTACCAAGAAACGTTGTTGATCGTATCCTTGAGCTCTTGCCGGTTCACGATGCAGCAAGAACTAGTATTTTGTCTAGTAAATGGAGAGATATTTGGGTCTCACTTCCATATCTAGTGCTAAATAACTATTTTTGCAAAAAGTTGACAGCAAAATCTACAATTGTTTTTAAAATAACAATTGATGAGATTCTCTTACAGCATGTTGGAGATATTGTAAAGTTTGTTCTTGACGTTTCAAGAATAAATTTGTCTTCATATGCTAGTATTAATAGATGGATGCGTTATGTCACCAGAAATGGTGTCAAGGAGCTAACTATTAATATGTCGGATAATAGAACTTATATACTACCTTCTTCTGTATTTAATTGTCCGGCCTTCACACGCTTGGAACTCTTCAACTGTGTCTTCAAACCATCAAATTCATTTCTTGGCTTTCAGAATCTTACGTATCTTCATCTAGAAAGAATAACATTTGTGCCAACCAACCAGTTTTGTGTTATCGATGTTCCCCTTCTTGTGGATTTAGTCTTGATGTTCTGTTGTGGCACTCAATACTTGAAGATGGTTTCACCACAGTTGGGGTCCTTGGTTGTTCTTGTGGGTCACTATCTCATGCTAAATTGCTTTATGAATTGCAATAAACTGATCCTGTTGGTGATTGAATTGGAAAAAGTGGAGGATAATCCAAAACATGATGAAATATCAACTTTGGAAAGGTTTCTATTTAGCTTTGGTTCACTTGAACAACTTTATTTGGGTTCCTTGGTCCTTGAGGTAAGAAAATCGACGTGTTGTTTCACTTGAATATCTAATATATAGTGATTGTATTCATTGAATTCTAATTATTGTATTTGTCTAAAAGTTTTTGAACGCAAATATAGTTCTGGATGAGCTTTCTTCCAAGCTCAACTGCTTGTGGTGTCTACACTTAGGTGTTGATTTCAACAAAGTGGATCAGACTTGTTGTACTCCACAGTTAATCAAAAGTTTTCCTAATTTGAGGAAACTTCTGATTACGGTAAGAAATAGCACATATATGTTGTCATGCAATGGATATAATTATTATTTGGTTTCATGTTTGCTCTTCATATATTTGAACTTGAGAAGCTAAAATTTCTCTATACATTAGGTCAAGGGTAGTGATGACAATGTTGAAACAATTATGAAATATTTGGAGACACAAACCTGCTTGAATAGACCACTTAACAAGCTCAAGTATGTGACCATCAGTTCTTTTAAGTGTTCAAAAACCAAGTGTTTTTTGTAAAGCTATTATGTGCTCGCACTCCGTCTCTTGTAAGGATGTGCATTCAGCAAGGGATAGCCATTGATTCCAAGGAAGAAAGGAATATCACCATAAAATTGATGCGTTTCCCCAGAGCTTCCACACGGGCAGAACTGTTCTATTTTCCATTTGAGGTTATGAACGCAGACTGATTCCCCTGTTTTCAATGAGTTTCGTTAAACAAGGCACTGAATTGGCCAATTTCTTAAACGTGTGGTTTCCTTAACGATTAATATGTTCATCAATTGGATGTTATTAAAGTTAAGAGTCTGTGTTGATATATGCTATATTTAGCTACATGTTTGGTAACTAAGGAAGTAATTTGACAGGAAGTTGAGTGATATAGTCCATGAATTGCAGGGAAAGATTCTTGGTTTTGGGGCTATATTTGCAAAGCACATGCAAATTCAAATGCTCTTTCTTTTTTCTTTGTATATGAGTTCGTAGACATAGATATTGCTATACTTTTATCCCGAGCTCAAAAGTCAACCCCAAGATCAAAATTGTAAATTTGACACCAAAATTAGTTTACCAATAAGCTCAAGAGCTTATGCGCCAAAATATTATTGAAATCTGAGCACTAATCGATCCCCAAATTGAAGAAACATCAATATTCAACTCTATGTATTAAAAGCCCAAATTTATAATCAATTTTTGAATGTGAATACCAATGACCCCCTCCTTTTCTGTGAACATGAACACGGAGGAGTTCCTGGCACTAGAAGACAATAAAACCAGAAAAATCAAACTTCAACCAACACTTCAATCCACTCCTTGGAATTACTCCGGAACCTTCCAGACGGAAACCAAATATACAGATTGACGGCAAAACATGTTTTGGGCATGTTGAATTCATCAAAACACCGATTTGAGGTCGTATTGACAATTCAAACCTAATTTTCTAAAATGCTAGAATCCATCCAATGATCCAAATCACTCTTGAGGTTTGACAGATCCGAATCACATGTCAAACCTACTTTTCCTCCCTCAATTGTTGGCAACCTGCGCTTTTTCTCAGTTCTTCGCCATGAATTTCCAACTCTTCTCTTAATATGGCATTGCCACCTCTGTGTATTTTGGTACTGTTCTAGTTTCATCATTTTTGAATAAACTAGTATGACTCAAGAAGTTATACAATTCTCTTTTCCTCTAATCACTATGCCAATCGATTTTTATCTAAACTGTGAACACCCCTAATTAATATTATCAATCACTCTACCATAAGATACTATGCACAATCAACATCATCGGTCAACACCATTCCAAATTGACAAATAATCACGGCTGAACCCATCGGTGGCCCCTTAAAGTTGGCACCAACTTTCACTTAGACACCTCAACTAGGCTTTATTCATTTTAGACACCTCATGTCATGCCGCTGTGTCATTTTAACACTTTTTATTGAATTGACAAAGTGCGTCTGTTGCACTGATTTGAAGTGCGTGTGTTGCACTGATTTGAAGTGCGTGGAAAGCATTTTTTGTGAAAAATAATATTTTTTTCTCTTCTTCTCTCTTTCTCCTTCACCTTCCACCACCATTATGTACTGATTTTGAGTAAAACAAAAAGAATAATACACTCATTAAAAAGATTTTAAAAGAATCATAAACTAATTGAAATAATTTATAAAAGATATTTTTTAATAAAAAATTCAGATTTAAAAAATAACATCACCATCTTGCCGGAAAAGATGGAGATCCATCATTTTTGTTACTATGTTTGTCGCTCTCTCCCCCAAGCTTCTACCAAAACATATTTTATCTATAATTAGAATTATTAGTCATAAAAGAAAATATGAGAAGTAATTGAAAAAAAAAATGGATCCAAGTCTTCTCAATTTTTCCGGCGAAAAAAAAATTAGATCTTAGTCATTGAAATGACTTCCTAGAAAATGAATCTTTTTTTATTGATTTTTTAAAATATAAGTTTATATAGTTTTTCTTTCTTCTACTTATAATTAAATTTTACATTTTTTTACCCAAATTGCCACATGTCTTCTCTTAATTTATTATCATGTCATCCTGTGAGGGTATAACACACATTTTGTAACTTTTGTTGATTGTTAAAAAAGTGTCAAAAATGACACAGTGGGGAATGGCATTGGCATAAGATGTTTAAAATGAACAAAGCTCATTTGAAGTGTCTAAGTAAAAATTGGTGCCAACTTTAGGGGGCCATCGATGAGTTCAGCCAACAATCACCATCGTTATTCATCACCACAAACAATTAGGATTGCCTATTGGGCAAATCAGGCGGATACTTTTCTTAATTTATTATAATGTCATCCCGCGAGGGTATAACACACATTTTGTAACTTTTGTTGATTGTTAAAAAAGTGTCAAAAATGACACAGTGGGGAATGGCATTGGCATAAGATGTTTAAAATGAACAAAGCTCATTTGAAGTGTCTAAGTAAAAATTGGTGCCAACTTTAGGGGGCCATCGATGAGTTCAGCCAACAATCACCATCATTATTCATCACCACAAGCAATTAGGATTGCTTATCGGGCAGATCAGGCGGATTATTTCGCTTAACGATTTGGCCTATCAGATCGATTTTTAAATTTACTAACTCGTTAGCCAAACAATAAGATATCGATTTGTTCGATAACAAATTAACAATTATCGGGCGGTGTATTGGGTAACATCTACCTTTTTTGTTTCATGAACGCACCTTAAAAAGAGGAATTCTTTTCAATATTTTAAATGCAGTTAAATTATTAAATTCTTCTATATTGCAAAAAATATATAGATTAATAGTAATATAATAGTTAATACAATATAAAAAGTAAATAGTTGTTTCAATTTTTGTCTTTACGACTTTAAGACTAACAATATAGAATTGTATATATGGCAAAATATTAAAAGAGACTAACATGCCTAAGATAAATGTGTAAGTATGGTAACTCTTAACGGGTTAACGGTTTATTCTATAAGGAAATTGAATAATTTGCCCCCACACCAATAAGCCTTTAATTATAAAATTCTAATCCGTCCACCAACCATTTATTCAATAACCCAATACGAATAAGCCAATTTACAGTTGACTTATCGATTACTGATCAATTTTGAACACCCCATACCATCAATCCATATTAAAATTTTAAAATATTTTATTCATATGATATTAGATTAATTTAGTATTTTTATTTAATTTTATATTTATTCTTTTCTAAATAAAGACAAACTTTTATAGAAAACAAGCTATATTATTATTTAATATTTAAACGTTTTAATGGAAATGAAAACAAATGAGCCTATGCAAACCCAAACCAAAAAATCCCTAAAATCTAGGGTTTCACAGTGGCATTTTGCTCGCGCTCATTTGCTTGGCAACGTGTGCTTTGTCACTGCAGTAACGTCTTCTTTGCCGGGGCATGTCACTTTTTTCTTAATACGCATTGCCACCTCTGTGCATTTTGGTACTATTTTTTGAATCAGACACAATTTTTCAATCAGCCAGCATGACTAAACAAGGTATAAAATTCTCTGTATTTTTTTGGATTATAAATGTTAAGCCTAATAAGATTATTTTAACTTATTCTAGAATCTAGTAAAAGAGCTGCTGTGGAAGGGGAAAAAGAAGATATAATCATTGCTCTGCCGAGAAACGTGGTCGATCTTATCCTTGAGCTCTTGCCTGTTCACGATGCAGCAAGAACTAGTATTTTGTCTAGTAAATGGAGAGATATTTGGGTCTCACTTCCATTTCTAGTGCTAAAAACTATTTTTGCAAAAAGTTGACAGCAAAATCTGCAAATTTTTTTAGAATAACAGTCGATGAGATTCTGTTACAGCATGTTGGAGACATTGTGAAGTTTGTTCTCGACGTTTCAGGAATAAATTTGTCTTCATATGCTAGTATTAATAGATGGATGCGTTATGTCACCAAAAATGGTGTCAAGGAGCTAACTGTTAATATGTCGGATAATAAAATTTGTATACTGCCTTCTTATGTATTTAACTGTCCGACCTTGACACATTTGTAACTCTTCAACTGTGTCTTCAAACCACCAACTTATTTTCTTGGCTTTCGGAATCTTACGTAT